CTAAAGAGATTTAAAAAAAAAATTTTTTATCCTAAAGAGATTTTTTTTAAAAAGGAAAAAGACTGATACATATAAAAATATAGCACTTCTTTTTGTGGTGACAAAGAATTGGAAATTGAGGGGATATTCATCAATTGGGGAATGGTTGAGCAAGTTGTGCTATATGATTGTGATGGAATACTATGTACTATAAGAAATGACTAGCAGGATGCTCTCAGAAAAACCTGGAAAGACTTACATGAACCAATACAAAGTGAAGCGAGCAGAACCAGAACATTGTACAGAATAACAACAACATTGTTTGATGATCTACTGTGAATTACTTAGCTATTCTCAGCAATACAAAGATCCAAGATAATTCTGAAGAACTTATGATGAAAGGTGCTTTCCATCTCTAGGGAAAGAACTGGTGGAGCTTGAATGCAGATCAAAGATACTTTTTCTTTGCTTTATTTTTATTGGGTTTTTTTTTAGTCTGTTTTCTTTCTCAGTATGACTTACATGGAAATGTGTTTTGCCTGATTACACATGTATAACCTATGTCAAATTGCTTGCCTTCTCAATGGGGGGAGAAGGGGAGAGAAGCAGAGAATTTGGAATTTGAAATTTGAAAAAAGAATGTTAAAATTGTTTTTACATGTAATTGGGGGGAAAATAAAATATTAAAGAAAAAAGAAAAAACAGCAAAATAATCTTATGGTGATGTATATAGCATTTCACAACTGTAGTCTACACTACTGTATTTCATCTTTAGTCCTTTGAAATCAAGATTATTTGTTAAGTTTAAGTTTTTTATGTCTGTAGTTTTCCTTTTTCATTGTTGTGGTCATTTTGACCTTTGAACTTAATGAATCCAGAAAAGAAACGCCTATAGTGGATAAAGAAATCAGTCAACTTGTGTTTATTAAATAAACTCTTACTATATGTCACACTGTGCTAAGTGCTGAGGATGCCCAGAAAGGTAAAATGTCCTGAAGGAATATCCATTCAAATGGGAGAGACAATATCGAAATTGTAAGGTATATACAAGATATGTTATTATAAGAAATTATTAGGCACAAGATATATGCAGAGGAAATGGAAGGCAATGAAGAAGCAAGGAAAAACCTCCTTCAGAAGAAAAGAAGTGGTAGATGGTGACTCAATGCTGAAGATGCTGAAATGGCTATTTATCAATCTGACATAAACAGTATGAAAGGTCTAGTGTGTTCTGGGTGCTCACTTTATATCCTTGTGGATGTAATGGGAAGCGTCCTGAGATGTGTCTGGTCTGATGACCACTGCAGACCCCAGTGGTGTGGAGTAGTTTTCAAGCCTAGTATGACATTCAGAGGAGCAAATGACCAGAATGAGTGAAATGATCCTTGTCAGACCACAGTGTCAGTACTGTGCTCAGTTCTGGGCATCACAATACTGTTGACAAGCTGGAGTGTGTCCAAAAGAAGGAAGTTAGGAGGATGAACATTCCAAAGACCACGCCATACAAGGACAACTTGAAAGCGCTAGCATGAAACATGCTCCAAGTCCTCCAAAGAGACTTTTAACACCACGTGGGTATTAATGTAGCACTCAGGCTATCTATTATTCCTTACTCTGTATTATGAACTTTTCTTTTTTCATTCATATTTCTCCTGGATGATCTCATTTTTGCTTTTCTTGCATATAAGACCTCATTGGTAACATACTATGGCTTATTTTATAAGCACCATGAACCTTTCCATTGACCTGTGGGTCACCCTCAATTCTGATTCTTTGGAGATTGTGGTTTTCCATGATTCCTAGCTATACGATATCACTAGTGTTAGAATTTTGTTTCAGGGAACAGATTGAGATTGTTAAAAGTACTGGGCAATCTGGGAGGTCAAAGGTAATAAAGATACGTAACAAAGCCGATCAGATCTTAAGACCAGATCTTAATGTTATTTCCCAATGATGAATTTGTTGGGGACATGCTGGAGAAGTTAAAGAAGTTCAAAACCACAATGAGTGTAGCTGAGTAGGAAATGAGAAGATGTCTGAACAAAGGACCACATCTTGAATACCTGGCTCCTGGAGCATCTGTTAACCAGTATCCACGTGGAGAAGGAAGAATGAAGAATTTGAGGACCAGCTGTGCTGCTGGTTGAGTGAAGACTCTGAGTGTCTGGCTGTTTCCCTTCCTTCCCCCTCCCCGCTTCGTGTCAGTTGGTAGCATCGGTGATGCAGCTTTCTACACCGACCAAAATGCAGGCATCCCCTTTGTGGAGAAGGCTGTCCTCTCTGTCAAAAAGCCTGAAGCATTTAGAAAAGCTAATTAAAACCACCAAGGATGAAAATGAGGTTTATAAATTCTACTTGTCAATTCTGAGAGACTTGTGAGACCTCTGATTTCATGAAAAAAAAAAGAAAAGAAAAAAAAGAGACTGGTTTGATGGATTTTAAGAAATGTGTGAAAATCTTTAACGCCATGTTACTCCTTCCCCAAATTTTCATGTAATTGAGAGATTTGCAGGTTTGACATTAATAATATAGTTAATGTTGAAGATTGGCTTACCCTGATACATGTCAAAAGGATTGTGATGATGGGTCTGATTATGAAATAAAGGCAAGTTCACAAATTAAAAAAAAAGAAGTGCTGGGCAATTTCCCAAAAGCAATCCAGCTACTCTCTTTATTTAGGAGCTAGCCAAGCTTGTCTTCCATCTGTAGTGTTGTATGTCTGCCCATTACATATACACACATAAGCATAGGAATGTATGTATGTATATGTTCATGTATGTATATGCATGTACCTAAAGGTGTGTATCCTGCTTGGACTCAAAATGGAAGAGAAATTTCCTATAGGTGATGAAGTTCTCCAGATGCTCTTGTTTGTAGAAATATTGTGCTGATTACATAAAGTCTCAGAGGATGATAGAGCCTACTACCCATGAGATTTGTGACCTTTCAAAAGAGTTAGGGTTTATAGTCCACACAGGAAATACCGAGTGAGTGAAAGACCCTTGTTAGGTCATAATGTGTGGACGGTTTACTGAGTAAGTCTATCAGTGTGTGTGTGTGTGTATGTGTGTGTGTGTGTGTGTGTGTGTGTGTGTGTGTGTGTGTGTGTATTCAAGATGTGGTCCTGAAATGAAGAATTTATTGATTTGTCAGTGGATAACAGGACTGTGTATAGAGAGGGCAGCTAGGTGGCACTGGTGGGTAGAATACTGGGCTTAGAATTAGGAAGACATATCTTGAGTTCAAATCTGGCCTCAGACACCTACTAACTGTGTGACCCTGGGCAGGTCACTTAATCCTATTTGCTTTAGTCCCTCATCTGTAAAATGAGCTGGAGAAGGAAATGATAAACCACTCCAGTAACTTTGCCAAGAAAACCCCCCATGGAGTCATGGAGAGTCAGACACAACTGAAAAACAAAACAGCAGATGGTACAGCTAGGTGGTGTAGTGGATAGAACACTAGACCTGGGGTGAGGAAGACCTGAGTTCAAATCCAGCCACAGACATTACTAGCTGGATGACTGGGCAAGTCACTTACCCTCAGTTTCCTCATCTGTAAGATGGGGATAATAATAGCACCAATCTCTTGGGGTAGTTGTAAGGATCAAATGAGATGATAAGTGTAAAGCACTTAGAGTAGTGCCTGGCACATAGTAAGCACTATATAAATATTAGCTATTGTCATCATTATTTTATACACAGTACACACACACACACACACATGTGGTATGTATGTGTGCATGTGCATATATGTAGTTGTATAATATACATGTGTATAAATAGAAATATAAACATATACATCCTGATAGACTTATTTTATTCTTTGCTTAATATTGGTAGTCAGATGATCACTGCCTGTTTGGAATGCCTGGCCCAAACTGTCACCATGAATCACCACAGACCTTTTCAGTCTAACTGCTCTTATAGAAGCAGTGACTACATAGCTAGAACACTGAAAACATTTTTGAATGAAAGGGATGAAGAAGATAGTATGGTTCTATTGGGAAGGGCCATGGCAAGTATGCTAAGGAAGGCCCCCCACCACCATGCACCCAGCCTTTTCTTCAAATTGTGTCTGCTATCTGGAGTCATATCTTTATGTTCCATGAATACAACTTTTATAGTTACCCCAAAATATCCCTCCATACATAAAATAAAAAACCCACCATTCTTCAATTTTTAGTTTTTGACACTAAGAATTTTTAACATTGATGTCTTTTGTTTTTATATCACCTTCATTTACTAATATATCCCTGTCCCCTCTCAAAGAGCCACTCTTTATAATAAAGAATAACAAAGAAAAAAATCATTTCAGCAAAGGATCACATCATGAACCTGACATTATATACTGTTCTGTACCTATAGTTCCCTACCTTTACAAAGAAAAGAAAGGACTTGTGGATCCTCATATATCTCTTCTTTGGGGCCAAAGTTGACCCTTTTCAAAAAACATTTAGTTTTAATTTTTATTTTTTTATTGTTCTCATTCATTCCATTTGCATTGTTGTAGTAATGGTGTATATTGTTTTTCTGAATCTGATTACTTCACCTTACATCTGTTCCTATAAATCTTCCCAAGTTCCACTTCATATTCTTCATAGTATTATTTCTTACAGGGCAGTACTATTACATTGAATTTATGTACTACAAATTCAGTCCTCTTATTTGATAGATAAGAGTCTCAGGGAAGTTAAATAACTTTCCCAGGGTTACACATCTTAGGCAAGACATTTAACTTGTCACAGAGTGGTAAGCATCAGAGGTGGTATCTGAACCTACAAAGCATGATGTTGTAGCTACTGTGTTGGGAAAGAAACTGGACAGAATTATCCCTTCCTGAGGTGGCCAGAGAGCCTCAGAAAAAGTTTGTATTGAATTGAGTTAGACAGAGAATACAGGCTTCTCTTAGATCCAAGGTGAGAAGTATCTAGATTAGGAAGTGGCTGGATTTAATAAGGGGGGATTAGTATTGATGGTTGGTGATTTTCTGGTAAATGGCTGATCTGCCATTAACAATAGATGTCCCACCACATGCAGCTGGAATTTAATGAGAGCCTTCTCCCAAGAACTATGACATGTAACCACCACCTTATTGCTGGTGAGTCATGTGAAAGTGAAAGATAACTTGAGAAGAAACCTAGAACATATAGCTAGAGATTAGGGGCAAGAAACTGAGACCTTAGCAATGATGGTGGAGTTTTTTCTTTTTCTTTTTTAAATCCCAGATGCCAATTAAAGGTATTCATATAAGAAAGGCATATTAGGGGATTTAGGAGATAGTATCTGAAAATAGATTGTGATCATGTCACTTAACAAGAGATGGCAATAATATATCAGTTTGGTTATTCAATTGTTTCAGTTGTGTCCAACTCTTCATGACCCTCTTTGGGGTTTTCTTGGCAAAGATCCTAGAGTGGTTTACCATTTCCTTCTCCAGCTCATTTCACAGATGAAGAAACAGGAAAACAGGGTTAAGTGACTTGCCCAGGGTCACACAACTGTAAGTGTCTGAGACTAGATTTGAACTCAAGAAGATCAGTCTTCCTGATTCCAGGCCCAGCACTCTATCCACTAACTTCCCAATATATTGACTTAGGGTCTTAAAAATCTGATAAGGCTTCACACTAAATAGGGAGAGGGAGGGAGAAAATTGTCTGCATCTCTTTGCCTAGCCAATATTGTAGAGAAAAGCAACACAGGAGGAATGTGTTTAAAGAGACCCAGAGATTCATGGGAACTGGGAGCAAAAACCAAGGCAAACTAGAGATCCTAATGTAAGATGAATTTGGCCCCTAAGATATCACTCAGATTTGATAGGGTAAGACCCATGACTGAAATATAGCTCTGGAAGAGTATGCCTTATTATACACCTTTAAGGGCTCTAAACATGTCAGTTGTTATTTTTTATGAATTTAGTTTGGCATCAGTAAGTTTAGTCTAATTCCTAGTTTGTTTCCTCAGCTGTTGGCTGAATAGTCTCAAACTCATGGTCAGCCATTTTATTATTTTTATTATTATTATTATTATTATTATTTCTGTTAAAGTGTTATTTAACATCTAGAAAATGAGACAGTGATCTCCAGTGGAAGCGAGGTGGCCCAGTGGATTGGACACTGGGTCTGGAGTCAGGAAGACCTGAGTTCAAATCCAGACTCATACACTTTCTAGCTGTGACCCTGAGCAAGTTGCTTAACCTCTGCCTGCCTCAGTTTCCTCAACTGTAAAATGAGAATCATAACATATCTCTTTCCCACGGTTGTTGGGAATATACCCTTAGCACTTAGCACTTTTCTGACAGAGGATAGTAGGTGCTTAATAATTGCTAATTCCCTTCTGTATTCTGAAGAGCCAGGATGATTTTGTCAAGATTAGGTCATAGCAGATTAACTTCCTTTCAAGGTTATTGGAATCAGGTGGATGCTATATTTATCATAGTTTATGTAGACTTCAGCAAACCATTAATAAAAGATATACCTTTTATTTTAGCATTCTTTGATAGGTACAGATATTTAAATGTAAACTTTGGCCCATGGTCCCACAAAAGTTTTGAGCTCCAATGGACTGGATTTGATCCTAGGGATTAACCTATGAGGTCATTATATCTTTTTGGCTCAGTGACTGCAATCCAAGGCTGAAGCCTAGACATTTATTTGATTAAGATTTCCTTCTTCAGTGGAGGGAATGATTGCTTGAAGCTCTGTTGCCTATTTGAAGAGTGGAGTGATGAAAGCTTAGAGAGGAGAGTTTCCTTCTGTTGTCTGCTGAGTTTGAGAAAGGATACACATGGTTATCTGAAGTTCCAGGATTTCTTCAGCAGGAGACCCTTGGAGGGAGAAAAATACTCTACTTACATCAAATTGCTTGCCTTCTTGTTGAAGGGAAGGCGAGGGAAGAAGGGAGACAATTTACAACTCAAAATTTAAAAAAAATGAATGTTAAAAATTGTTTTTTATGTGTAATGGAAAAGAATTTTTAAAACATTTTAAATACTCTGGAAGAAGCTAATATGTAGAGCAACCACTCCCTTGAGGATTTCTCTATTTTCAGTTTGCCCCACTAGTAGACTTTGGTAATTTCCTCTTTGCATTAGAACTCTTGTCAGTTGAACTGAAATGTCTTGCTACCAGTGGGAGGAGCTCACTCACTCTATGTGTTGTCTGGTATATTCCAATCTGTTTAACTTCTCTGATTTCTGTTTGCCATCTGCTCAGATAAATGGGACTGTGTGCAATTCACTAATGTTGATGGTTTTTGTGGAACTGGTATTTGGTGGGAAGGGAGTCAAGCCTTCAGATAAAGCTTAAGGCACTCTTTTGATAAGGAATATTAATCAGGACAGTGGCTGAAACCTAAAAATTATTTTCCCTAGCAATATTTCTCGGGAGACTTTGTTGTTTGGTTGTTTTAGTTGTGTCCCACTGTTGGTGACCCCAGTTGGGGTTTCTTTGGCAAAGATACAGGAGTGTTTTGCCAGTTCCTTCTCCAGCTTATTTTACAGATGAGGAAACTGAAGCAAACAGGGTTAAGTGACTTGCCCAAGGTCACACAGCTAGTAAGTGTCTGAGGCCAGACCTTTATGGCCATACATGTAATCCACATGGACAGGACACAAACCTTATTGACAGCTCCAATTTTTATCTTTTAATTTCTAGTTGAATTAGAAGGTTATTTATTATGCTTCCATATGAAAATAGAGAACACAGAACTGATTAGTGGGGTAGCACATAAAAGCAATAGATGGAGAAAATAAAAGAAATATTGCTACTTTAGAAAATAAATACATTAAGGAAATAATTCTGGTTTTGAGTCAGACACTCCTGAGACTTCACAGTGAACCTTTGAAACATGAGAGTCATAGAGTTAACAGACTTCGTGAGCTAGAAAGTACACTTAGTCCAATACCTTAGTGTTTTTTGGAGGGGTGAGGATAAATTTATTTTTTATTATTTTTAAAGTCCTGAACTTAACACCAAATAAGACGATCATTTCTACATACAAAGCAGCATAGAAAAAGATTGCTTATGGCCACAAGTATAAAACAAATTCAACACGCTATTTCAAAGTTGCCCTGCTTATCTATTTCCTATAGATATACCTTCTAGTCTATGTTTTAAAATGCTTATCTGACTCTCTTTCCTTAATTTCTTTTCCTTATTACTAGCCTCTTTCCCCTTTCCAAAACCCCACTCCAAATCCCAGTGAAAGAAAAACCAAACCCTTGTATCAAGTATCTGCATAGTCAATCAAAACAAATCCCCATATTGGCCGTGTTCAAAAACATGTCTCATTGTACACTTTCAGTTTGTCACCTTCCTGTCAGGAGCTAGGTAGCATGTTCATCAATGGTACTCTAGAATCTTGCTTTGTCATAGAATTGATCAGAGTTCTGAAGTCTTCCTTAGTTGTTGTGTTTTTTTTTAAACAGTAATTGTTATTTTCTAAATTGTTTTCTTGGTTCTGTACACTTCACTTTATAGCAGTTCATTCAAATCTTTGAACTAGTTTGTCTGAAATCACTTCCTTTATTATTACTTACA